GCGCGGGACCAAACACGATCGATCAGCCTGGACAACACTCTACATCGGTCCGCGGAATTTCTCAAAAGGCAGGAGCAGCGCATTGCAAGATAAGTTTTGCTGCTTAAAATGGCGTCTAAAAGTAATTCACGACGATTAAGCAAACTGAAAGTTCATCTCCAGGGTAAAATATAAATAGTAGAACCAAGGAGACAAGACACCAAGAAACAGTTATGTTTATTTCAACAGGGAAATGTTTAAAAATAAATTTGGTAAGTGAAGCATGTTCGTACCATCCATCGACATCTTCACCCGTAACATCGAGTGAACTCAGTCGTAACAGGTGTTACGGGTTGCGGCCCTTAATGACAGCCCTGATTAATATTGATGCCTTCCCATCCCATTAATATTGAAAAAATCTTTCATTTCGATGACCCACCAAAATATAACCACTGGGGCTCTCATTAAGTTTTGAGTCACCTGTCAGGGCTCAAAATAACGGCCGGTCAATGGACAATGTCCAGCCAGAATGGTGACTTGACTGCCAAAAACTTCACTCGCTGGTCACGTTGACCAGTCATGTCATGTTGAGACGGTTCGTTCTTGAATAAACAATCAAATCCCCAACTGCAAATCTTAGATTTTTATTCTCTTTTTTATTATGGCCCCTCACACGATAACCTACACCAATGGGTATCTGTTGGAATGGCTAAGAATACATCACTTGCTGTTTGTCATGCATTCAAGATCGATAGGAATGCAATTCAAACAGCTGGGGCTATCCATGCAGAAAAATATTCAGCCCTTCGAACAACTGCTGCTATTCTTTGGAAAAATATTTTCATCTTTAAGGACGACAGCAGTTTTTAATTCTAAAGTCAAAACTGTTCAGCCTTTCGAACAGCAGAGGTTTTCCGTACGGCAAAGAATGCGATTAGATTCAGCTTTTCGTGACGCTTTAGATTTGCCCACCTCTCTTTGTTGGTGTTTATTTCAAAGGTAGTGCTCTACAGATGTCAAGATATTTGTCGTTTCTTTCACTTTCACTACACAAAAATCGACGAACAAGACGCTAAAACAAAACTTTTTGCTTGATTGTCAACTTGAAGTTGTTTCCAACTTAGACACTCTGGGACTCCGGAACATCAAAACACGCATTTTGCAGTCTCCTTCGTTTTCATCAAGCCGTAAATGTAACATTGAGTATGAACCCAGTATCTAATTGAAAACCAACTGATAAGTTACTGTTACAAAATGGACAAAAATAATTGTGTACCAACAAAAAAGCCGAAGGCCTTTACATCAGTATCTGTATCTGTAAAGTTATTTTGTTCACGAATGAAATTTGAGACACTCTCAACTCATTGCTTGGTAACATCTATTGAATGATGGTCATTAGTTCTTCGTGAACGAAAACTCTATCTAATGTGACTACAACTGAGTTTAGATTTTTTACGGCTTACACTTTAGAACTTAATTTTAGTCACATCATGACGAAACTTTCCAACACTTGTTGTGTAACTGTGGCCATATTCGTAGTAACGCTGTGATTTCAGTGTTGTGTGTTTGCACGGGTGAGAATCGAGGAAACAGAAACTACTTCTTCTTCGGCTATATTTGTTTACCCAGTTATTTCTGAAGCCCAAAATTAGGATCTGCTGATACATGTTTGGTTTCATTGATGTTTTGATGGACATAAATACTTTGTAGAACATGAAAACAACAGCTCGTGGAATTCAATATACTGACTGAAAAATTTGAAGTTCCGTTAAATATTCATCCGTTCAATACTTTTTCTTAGGCCACTTTTTAAACAGTCTGGCAACGACTGGAACAAACAAATTATATTTGTGGGGTTAATTAGGCCAACATTATGACCGGTCTCTACACCCATAGCAAACTTGTTACTTACACTGTTGTGGTTAAATTCTATCAACAATAGGCAAGTTCACCCGTAGCAGCAAGGGAAAATCGAGCATACTGTACTCTGACAGCGGTAACAGCTGTTATGGGTTACAGCCTTTAATGACAGCCCTGATAACATGTACTGTATAGTGAAATCCTGATTTATCATATCATATCATTATAATCTTACATGAATGATAAACTGTTGACCATTAAGGAGGCAAGAGAGTTTTGCTCATTCGCAGCTTTTGATTTGTTTCTGAGTTTCAGCCAAATGTAAACTGGTTTTCAGCTTGGAGAGCAAATAAAATTTTGACGAAACTAAAGATAGTTTCAAAGTTACATAGATTTCTTACCTCGAAAAATGTGTTTTACCTTAAGAGTAGCCAACATGTCCAGGACAGCTAGATGGTAATTCCCTCTGGTGACAGGTGCTTATGGGAAATGCTGTAAAGGATATTTATTAAATAATTGTCAAGATATAAATTACAAGCCAGTCAGACAAAATAACTCTTTATTCTGAGGTTGCCTGTGTGGCTGGTTGAAAAATGTCTAAGTTGTCAGGATTTCACTATACAGTACATGTTATCAGGGCTGTCATTAAGGCTGTAACCCATCATCATGTTCGCTACATTGATCTCTAATTGACTTTAGAATCAAAGGAATCAGTGTGTAACTGTCATCAACATGTGGATCAAGCAGTGGGAGGGTGCAGGAGTTGCCCCCCCCCCCCCCCCTGAGATGAAGCCTTCTTCTTTGTATTCGCTTTTAAAATTTGTTTACCTCACCAGTCAGTTACGCCATTCCTTAGTGGTGCACCCCCTCCTAGTAAAAATCCTTGATCTGCCCCTGTCAAGTAAAGTAAACCTAGGCTTCCTTTCTCTACAGACTGGGCAGACGCCGTAGCAAGACTCTAGAGTGTCCATCAGTAGACTCTCGAAACAGTGGCGACAGTGACAGTGGAGGGCGACCTCGGGGAGCAACCTCAGCAGTGAGCTCCTCTAGTGGTGCAGTATCCGACTTTTCTGCACGAGGAAGAAGTGGGACAGGATTGTCTTTGAATGAAGATGATTCTGCAGAAGTAGATTCTGTATGTACATATATAGTATTTCATGTAATATATCAAACGCATAAGACTTATTTGACCACATTTCCCAACACCAAGAAGAGAGTTGAAAATACGATGCGTAGCAGATATTTTTTATTAACCTTGAGGTGTTTGTAAATGTGGTCAAACACTGTCTTAAGTGTTTCATATATCTTCTCAAGCGAAACTAAAACTGAGGAGAAAATGGAGAATTACGATTAACAAAAAAATTTGTGCTAATTAAGATGAGATATCCAAACACTGACACGGTCATGATTTCCTTTGTTTAAACTTGATGAATTAGTTATTAAGTTTTAGAATTTGAGGTGAATGATTGTACAGTATATCTAAGTGCAGGTAGAGAAATAATTGGAAATCATTATTTGACTTGGAATTTATGTTTGGAATTCTTCTAAGACAGTTTTTAGATTTTGCTCTTGTTTTCTATAGGGCAGCAGTTGATGCATCTTGGTGCACTGGCAACTATCCTATTTTTAATTCACCAAACCTTTTGACTATGTCAGGCAAGCATTGCTCCCTGGCAACGTTTCTTTGTAAATATTGAATTTGGAACGATTTCCTTTAAACTTTGCATATTTAGCAAATTTGGCATAATAAATTGATCTATGTAGCCAAGTTGATTTATGAAAAATAGGAAAAATTGTTGATGTCAAAATGATCCATTGTTTTGTTGACTTGCAGCTTGATGGGACATTTAGTTCCCAAGATAAGGAAAGTGATGAAGTAGACGGACAGATCATTGACTCAGAGGTAAACTGAACCAAAGTTTGTCGTGCTTTGTTGCTTCAGAGCTCGTTCTTGTTCTTGGTTTATTTTTGCCATATATAAATATATTTACAACATGTCAAATGTATAGTAGGCAAGAAAGCCCAGGGAAGCCAATAAGGGTTATGTAAAGGACTACCTCTAGCCTGCAGAGCAGGCGAGATTTTTTCGAGCGAGCGCTCACATCGTAAAAAGTTTAGCCGCCATCTTGAATTTTTCATGCAGTGGAAGACTGGGGAGAGAAAGAAAGTTTTACCAAGGGGGTCTAAAAAGGCGGTCGCAAGGTTGTAATGCTAACTCGCCCCAATAAGACGCCTGCACTGCAGGCTAGACTACCTCAAATACCTTAGCCTCATAACAATAGAATAAAATAGACATCAAAGTGTAATTTCTCGTTAAAACACCAGTACATAATCGAGCAGCAAAGTGATGAGAATAAAGAAAGTCATCAAGTAATGTGATGTTGTCTTGACATGCCACAAAATTCTCACAACTGACATTAAGTGAACTGTATGGTTGTCAATAAGAATAATTAACGGTTTGATCTATGTGCTGACAAGGAATTGTCTCGGAATTTGTTCTTTGTTGCTTCTTAGAAGATACGACAGAGGGTTGAACACTTGAACTACAAGATAAAGAAAACCAAGGATCAGATACGTCAGCTGCAAGAAGAGAGTGATGGTAATATCAATGATTTCCTTTTACTTCCATTTTAAACAGTAACAATAACACGTCTTGAAATTTGAATCTTGAAACTTGTTTACATGTGTCTGGATCAGGCTTTTAGCCAGATGGGCAGGATGCCCACTTTTTAAACAAAACTGAGTGTTTAATTGTACTTTTTTTGCGTTATAAATATTGTTCATTTGAATAAACCCTATAGCACATTTTTGACGCGTACTTTTCAAATCCTGGCTAAAAGCTTGTTCTGGATCTGCCCTAGCAACAGTTTAATTACAAGGGGGATATTTGTGTTTGCAGGGTATGTTAAAGAGTACCTGGAATCAACGGAAGGCTCACAAAAATCTAAGTAAGTGACAACTTTTTCAAACCATAATCAGTTTATGACAAAAATCTAAGATTGAGGCGTACCCTTAAGTGTTAACCTTTTTATTCTCCTTTTTACCCTTTCCCGTTAAAAAATACAATTCCATGCTGTTGATCTTGAAACTAAATCGTACCATCGAGTGTCCTACCGAAAGCATGCTTGCACTAGCACGTAGCTGTGTAGAAGAGAGGACCAGAGGACGAACAAACATTGGGGCGGGAACAAAAACCGACAGACTCCGGGGTGGAGGAAACGCTCGCCCTACCAGCCCCCGCTTCGTCGATAGCTTTTGCTCTCGCCCCAATTTTCTCATGATCAGTATGCGGAAAAAGCTCTTCGTTCTTTCAGTAACGCTTGCTACCCAGGCTAACTAGCACGTGTACGTTGCACATGATGCAGATGTACAATCCCGGCCAAAAGTAGTTGGGACACTTGAGCTGGATCACATTTTCCCCATCCCCCCTAATCAATGTTGGAAAATATCGCGTTTTTTCCAACAAAAGGGAAAAATTCACCCGATTATCAACATTGTAAGTGTGGGGAGGGGAGAACTTGCTTGCTGTCCCAAATTTGTTATCCGATATTGCAGGTATCTTTGTACATGTGTACATGTATGTGACGAGATCAACCGTTAATGCTGTGATACACGATGTGCATGATTGTATACAATAAACTACTGTTACATTTTGATTCATTGGCGTGTCATTTGTACTTGATGAAACTTCCAAATCTTTTGTTACTAAACGTGGAATTCATTATGTTATGGAAGCTTCGGGTTTATTTAGTCCGTAGGGGCATTCTCAGGCTAGTAATAAACCTTTGCTGTCAGCATGCAATGAGAACTAATAAGCCTCTCGTTACGCGAACATGTCGCTAAAACCAATTCCTGTTCTATATCCAAATCGACGGGAATGAAAAGCATTAGTCAAAAATCAGTGGAATTTTTAGAACAAAAATTTCTCTTTGCTACAGTCTGTTAATGTGCATGCATGAAGGAGAGTGAAGTTGTTACAAGACTATGGCAGTCTGTTTTATCCTTTTCTTGCAAGGCAAGACAATGAAAGTATTTTCTTGTAAGAAAAAATATCTTGCGACGTGTTGCTGTCTGTGATTGTTGTTAACAGTAATTAAGGTAGACGAAGATTTATTAAGTGCCCGGAGTAATTGGATTTATCTTTCAAGTCGTCACCCTCCTCGCGCATAAAAACGTGAATAGAAATGGAAGGTTGAACGTAAAGGAGATGTGTGCACTTTGTATAGGCTCTCATACATGTATCGGTGAATTTGTTGCGGTATTGTCTGGAAATTGGCTTCGAATGTGTATCCTTTTGAGAGATCAGACTGAACTTATTTTTCTTGCGATCGAAGGTGAATTTTTTTCTCGATCGTGCAAAGTCGGTTTAAGCGTGTTTCAAGGAGAGAGATTTGTATTAAGCGCTATAGACTGGCTGTCAACAGTACTTGTGAAAGGATCAGTGTCGTTGTTTCTGCCATTGTGCAGACAAAGACGCTCTTCACCAGCGTACGTTTGTCTCTCTTGTGTGAGGTTCAAATGCTGCAAATTCATTTTTTGACTTCCATCCAGGTTGCGCTGAATTAGTAGGTACAACAAACTATTTTTGCAACTGTAGCATGAGCTTAGCAGCTGTTGAATGTATTTCTCAGGCCCCGTCCAAGCTACGCCGGGTGAACTTGACAACGCAGCTTTATTTCTACAGTTAGGCCTACGGCCCACACTAATCCGTCACGGGAACGGAGCTTTTCGAAAACGCTCTTCAAACCGGAGGAATTTGAAAACGTCCGCTTTGCGTTTTCGTGCAGACGGAAAGCATTTTGAAAACGGAGCTTTTTGAAAACGGTAACATCGCGATAATCATGTGATTTCCCTTCCCGAGATTTCCTCAAACACAAATCCAAAATGACCAGTGATTTTTTACGTTTTCAAATTCCTCCGGCGTAGTGTGGGCAAGGCCCTACATGCTATGAATCGCGTGCTCTGTCTTATACCTAGTTGGTGTGTAGTGAAGTCTTAAGGTGACATTCTCTAATTGGAAGCAGATATAAAGGATCGAGAATCTTTTCCGATTAAATGTCTACTTTTTTTTTTCTATCACCTGTGTGACACGACATGGATTGGGGCCATGTAATTCTCGCTATCTACGTAAGCACTTTTTTTAAACCTCTTTTATGAGCATTCCTTATTTTTAGACATTCTTTTGAAAACAATGTGCGTGATTATTTAGTAAACTGCTCCGATACGTAATCAAATTGTACATGAACACTGCACTTTATTGTTTGGTGGAGACACCTAACAATAAAGATTCTTTGTTCTATGTGAACAAAGGTAAATTCATTTGGCAATTGTTAGAACAGGAAGAAACAAGAAAAGCAACATTTCAAGTCTTGGCCGTTTTCAACTTGCGTTCTCATGAAAAAATTCGCGCGGAGGAAGAGCCGAAAGATCTTTCTTGAAGCCATTTTTTCACATTTGAGAAAAATTTTTTCAAAGTTTCAGCTCAAAATTTTCGTCATCATTTTACGTGGTATAGAAAAGTTCCTATTGTCTTTCAGTCAATCATAATCCAGAATTTCGATGTGTAATTTGCACTGGTGTTACACTTTTTGCACTGATGTTACACTTTTTGCACTGGTGTTACACTTGAACTGCACTGCTCTTAGCCAATCAGAATCGAGTAATTTTTTCATGTGTATTATTATATATGTAATTAGACTGCAGAACAGGCGGATTAGCGGGCTCTAGCGCGATACGCGCGCGTGCTGGTGTATCGCGCTAGAGCCCGCTAATCCGCCTGTTCTGCAGGTTAATATGTAATAGTAAGGGAGTTGAGTTATTGATCAAGGATCAGTGTAGTATAGAGCTATTGTTTCGTGTTGTTTCGCTCTTTGAAGCTGTTAATTGTGGCTTGTATCATACTATCATGTTTCCGCACTCTACAGTTGTTGCTGTTTAATTCTGTGTCACAACCGTACAAATACTGACTGGAAATACTTGTGTTCCTTTCTTCTCAGAGCTGTCTTTGAAAAGAAAAATCAAAAGACAAATACACTGGTCGCCCAGCTACAGAAAAAGCTGGAAAAATATCACAATACACGTATGGTAAGTATTATTTCACAATTAGATTATAAGCTCGGGATTTCTATCGCGTGATAGTTGACAAGGGCGCAGCCCGAGTCAGCTATCAAGCATAGAAATCGAGGGCGAATAATCAAATTGTTTTAGTATAAATCTACTGGTCGTTCAAAACGTTTAGTGTAAATCATCTTCACTGACGCTTCGTGATATAGATTTGACCAAATAGTAATCTGTGAATCAAAATTTAGTCAAACAGTTGGAATTTCTTGTCTAAGCATCAGTGTTCTTTCTTTCTCTTTCCACAGGAGCTGGAGTTAAATGGCGCAGCACCCAGTGGACATCTCGCTAAAGAAGTATTCAAGTAAGTTGATAATCAAGCCAAGTGCAGGATTTATCTAGCACTCAAAAGAGTCAGGGTTAGGGTAACATCTATTTTTGAAAGCGTTTGGTTTGTATACGTATATCCAAACATTTTAACATGTTATCGCAAAGCAACAACGTTTTAAACCTTGATAAAAACTTGACATCTCTCTACTATTTGATAGCAATCTTGGAAGATGTATCACGAGAAAATAATCTCTGATCATCTGAGGAAAATGTCTTGTTCCCAAGAAGTCGATGGAAAATATTTTTGGAGAAACGGAGCCAGTTCCACTGAAACATTGCTTACTTATCAAACTTCAGTTATAAAACTCGCCAGTCATTTCTTTAAGAAGGATTTATAGACCGAAGAAGCTTAATTATTCCGTGCAAGAGACCATGATCTAAGAGCTGTTGGTTCATCGTCTCCTGTTCCTTGACAAGACGTTGAGGAAACATCCAGAGAAGTATATTCTGTTTTCTAGGCCGGATGGCTTGCGATTTCACGTTGAAGAAAATCGCCGTCAGATGTAAAATACACAAGCACTGATAACTAAGTTACTTTTGTGGAGAACAGATGTCCTTTTATTCAGAGTAAGAAAACCTCGAAGGTAGAAAAAAGCCGAATTAAGCGCGAAAAAATGGAGCCAACAGGAATTTAAAGGAGCTCAGTCATTTTGAGTTATTTTGGCCGAGTGCAAAATTACCTTTAAATTAAAGGAAACCTGAAAATAATAGTTTACAAAGATAGAAAAACACCAAAGAGATAATAAGAAACCATAAAGGAACAAGAATGGTTAAGGATGAAAAAGATTAACACGGATTCCAACGACCTACTTGTAAAATATAGGCTCAACTTTTGAAGATACGCAAACCGTGACGTGAGACGATTGTCGGGTCGAGAGGATAAAAGACAGATCTGAAATCACTCTTCCAGTTGTCTTCACGGTTACTTGGATGTTTGTTTTGAAGTGGCTGATGACAGTTCATAACGTCATAAATCGTTTGATGTTAGCCTTGAATAATTGTAATATTATCAAACACCTGTAAGCTTGGAGAAGAGGATATTATTGTTTTCAGTCAGGCTCAGAAAATAGAATTATTTTCCACACATCGGGGGTCGCTCACCTTCTGTGCGGGCAATTGCGCGAAACAAAAAAAATAAATAAGATTTTTTCGTTTGATGATGTTTTTAAAATCTTCTGCAGATCCGTTTTGCAGTTTAGACTGGTTGAATTAGTGGTTAGTTTGTAGTTTACTTCAATTTCGGCTTTTTAGTTAATCTTTAATAAACAAAGAGGAATCGTAATGCTTGTTTTTGGCGGCTCGGTGTATGCAAATTTGTAAAAAAAAAAACTGTAAAAACTCATAAATATTGAATACATAATCTATAAAAAAAATTAGAACTTCCCTCTTGTTTTGGATAGCAGAAAGTGAAAAGTGAGATTTGATATCTTTGTTTCGTGTTGGCACCTTGAAAGACGAGACATGTGTTTATCGCCATAATTCATTTTCATGGCAAGTGTTAAGCCTTCGCGCTCTCTACCGAAGATCTTTGTGAAAGAATCGACGGGCCAAGAAATCGTTCAGCCGGCTTTCCTAACGCCGAAGTGTGCTCGGAATCTGCGGACAACCCTCCAAAAACACAAGTCGTGTTTCTGGCCGTAAGTCGACGTTTGGAGTATATGCTGTTTTGTTTTCGTGCGTTGTACAATACGGCTTAAGTCGCTTAAAATATGTTCGGTTTATTGACGTGTCTGTGCTTGCTTCATTTACACTGGAGTAGAAAGGCTTTGTAGCGAGGTGTGCCCAAAGAGGAGGATCAAAATTACTATAATTATGCTGTTAGATAGATGTTGTGAAAATTAGATTTTGCGATTTCAACAATTGGATCATATGTAAAATGTACGCTCGCGTTTATATTGTTGATAATGCATGTAAACTGGCACAAGACGCGTTTCTCAGTTGTCTTCGGAATGACTGCAGTCTTCGGGATGTCTCTACATGTGTTTTAGTCTTAATACTTCAAAATCTAGATGCGATTAATAAGCCTGTGTTTTTTGTGAAAACGTGAAACGCTGGATGATTACAGTGTCTGTAGTTTTTAACGTTTTTCAGGTTCGCTTTTTATTTGAGGTTGTGGTGTCGACAGATTTATACATGCTTCATGTTTACTTGAAATAGCAGCGTTTTTATCAATTTGCCTTGTGGATACATCACTTTGTCTGATGGCAAAATATTCTCTTAACGGTAAAAAAAATACTTTTACCGTTTCAAGATTCTATTATTGCCTTAGAAGACATTAATTTTTGTATTCAGCCTATTAAATATGCTTTTACTCCATATACAGTTGTTTTGACACGAGACACTGACTTTATTTACACAGCATTTCGACGGACCTTTTGTTTAACGAAGTAGGGCTCCCTCATTGTATAAATACTTTCGAATCTTATTATTATTTTTATCTTATTTACATATATTTTTTGGCTTCAGGGGTGTTAGAGATGGAGTCAAAGGGTACGTATAAAACAACCAGTTGCTATCTTTTTGTGATCTATTACCGAAATATTTCATTTACATATAAATTGGCGGAAGCAATATCATTTTACTCGCATACCTATGATAAAATAAAATGAAGCCTTTGGCCTTGTAAACTTGAGATTACCATTTTTTTTTATTAACCATACATTTTAAATCTCTGCGAAGTACATACGAAGTTATTTATCTGTTCAGTGAAATAATTGATCCGATAAGACAGTAATTTTATTGTCATGAATATATGTGCTTGTAAATTCTGTAATTCGAATTGAAAAGGTTTCTTCTTGAAAAATTGATCTTTTGTAAAAAGCTGAGGTAATTATTACCAGCACGACTATTCGTATTTAGTATAAATCTACTAGCGGTCTATCACAAATAACGTTCCCTTACTGGCTACGTTACACACTATCTATTCTGCTGTAAGATAAGATAACTTTATTTATACACGGTTTTTCCATCAGTCAACAAAGTTACTGGACTATCTATCTATCTGCCTAATTACAATAAAAAAAAGAAAAAAGAAAAAACTGCTTTTCATGGAGGCCGTGTCTAAAAATTTACTTAAAATTAAGATATTGCTTTAAATTGTGGCGACTTAATTAAGATTTGAAATCGGTCGGTGAAGATGCTTGTCGTAGGTCTATAGGTAAGCTGTTCCACAGCTGAGCCCCGCTGTACGAAAAACTTCTCTTAAGATAATCAGTTCGAGGTTGTGGAAGAACTAATTTGTTATAGACAGTGAGTAGCCTAGTGGTGTGCGGTTGTTGACAAAATGGCGGCCGCTTCTTTGCGGAGTTAGATAATTTACTAGTCAAGGCGATTCCAGAGAAGACCAAAGTTGCAACGAAATATGGAATAAAAAAGTTGCATTTATTTAATAACCGAAAACGTGAACCTACGTTGTGGTTTAAGTTTTGAACATCTAGTAGATTTATACTAAAGCTATTAGATCATATTCGCTCTCGATTTCTATGCGTGATAGCAACAGAAATCTCCAGCTCATAATCTCATTATCGTACTCTCGTAATCGAGAGGGAATAATCTAATTGTTATTAGTAGAATTCTACTAGTATACTAATGCAAATGCTGCAGTCTGATTGGCTGAGCTACTTGTATACTGTCAGCCATTAGAGTGCAGCAGCTGTCGGTCGTCCACGAAATGCGACGTTTTTATCGTTTTTTCCGAAGTTTTGGAAGAAAGTTTAGATGTAAATGGATAATTAAATTGACTGAAAGAAGGACATAAACGGATTCATGACTTAAAAAACTTGAAATTACTGAAAAACCGGTGCACGCGCGTAAACAACTTACAATTTACCAAGGACAACTCAGTACGTGCGATTTTGTTAAAGGGTAAAGTTCAATATTGCGTCGAAAAATATTTGGAAACCATTATTTGCGTTAATTTAAGTTAGAATTCTACTAAAACAATTAAATTATTCGCTCTCAATTTCTATGAGGCGATAGTTGATTCGGCCTTCGGCCTCATCAACTGTCACCTCATAGAAATCTCGAGCTCATAATCTAATTGTTAAATAGCGTAAAGAATTCTCCGGCAAAAATGTGTCCGACCCACTTTTCAAGCCTTTTGCGAATTCTAAATCTCACCGAAATTAAAGACATTGTAATACTTGTTGTTTTTAGGTTATTCGGGTTACCTTAGCTGGCGTGCATTTTGATACTAACTCTTTGTTTCTGGTGGAAAAAGTGATAGAAAAATGCGGAAAGAAGTAAATAACTTACAGGCAAGGCCGCCTGTAAGTTATATACATCTTTCCATCGTTGTTTTTAAGGCTTTCCTGGCGCAAACAGTTTCCATTCTACGCGGTAGAAAAAGTGTATTTGGATAACTTATGTTCTTCATATTGTTTTGTATAGAGCGGTTACCAAGCCTCTGGAGATTATCAAGCACCGTAGGTTTGGTAGTGCAGAGAATGTGAGCACTACTGCGTCAAGTCCTGGATCAAGTATGTATCACTATGCTGTTTGTGTTGTTTAACGCTTTTCACTGCAAAAGAACATCTTCCTTCGCAGCAGTTCTTATTTTCACGGCTTATTTCCATTACTTTAGAAGGGGCAGCCGGTCTACTTTGTCTGTGAAATCATAAATTGTGTCGACACCAGAGACTTTGTGGTTAGGTAGACCACTTTGAAAGTTAAGTGGATTTTGTTGCACCTGCAAAGACAGCAGAGGGCCTGAGATCCGAGTCGGATAGAGCGTTTTCACATGACGTCACGGCAGCCATATTTGGTGTACCAAAACAATGAAACGGCAGTCATTGTTGGTGTATCAAAACAATGAACCAGTAGCCATATTGGTGTTCCAAAACAATTAAACGGCAGCCATGTTTGTGCGTCAATAGACTGTGTAATACTGGCTAGTTTACCGAACCAATCCTGCGGGAGTTGAACTCGTTTCTGATGTAAACATTTTCTTTAGTTCCAATCAATTTGCAAGTGTGCTGGCCACATGAGTGAAAACACCCTATGCAAGATTTCCCAACGGTAAAGGGCTAGTAACAGACTTCTTTTTAACGTTTGTTATTGTGGCAGCGATAAATCGCGGCAACCGTCTTTTTTTAACTACGAATGAAAATGTCAAAGTTGGCAAACGAAAGCTCTCTAAAATCATGTAGAACAAACTCGTTGGCTTTGTTTCTGTGACTTATTCTCGTAGTTGGACTCGCACCTAGTGGTCCCTGTCTTCTAGTGAAGATGTTGGGTTTTAGTTTCTTTTCTCGTGATCAAGTAACAGTTTACTTCACTGTACAGTAGCGAAAATGTGGGTAAGAAAAATGGTTGGGCGATTTCTCCAAGTTCTCGCCACTTTATCTGGGGCGAGGCTCATCTCGCGGTCCCTTATGGGATCGTTGTTGGGGACATCTTTTGTTTTGTCCTTGGTAACGGTCTCACAAGCCACTGCGAGATGAGAAGACTTGCCCTAGGTTTCTTCTCGTAGCGAATTGTGGAGGAGTTGCCGTGTGAAGACTTTTTGTGATTGGAAAGTGGTGTGTGTTATAATTTCAGAGATAGATGGACTTGAAGAAGAACCTAGCAGTCCTGCAGGTGAAGATAGTTTCGCAGGAGATTCTAATCTCAGGTAAATCTAAACGTGTTCTCAGCGGCCGTAATCTTTTCGTTGTCACGCAACTGTTCTCGCTCTTGTGTGACATAGAACGTGATGGTTGCACACCATAGAGTGGTTTGATTTTCTTTTCAATCGACCAAAATCGAGGAACTCCAGAAATCGCCACCGATTGTAACCAGTGTTACATGCACTAGTCACTGGTAAACTTGTTTCAGAACTTCTGTGTCGTACTATTTTGCTTGTTTTGAAGGGTGTGAAGAGGGTTGGAGAGGAGGGAAGGGGTAAGGTTTGATTCGGAGAAGAGAAAAGCGTGAAGAGATCAAGGTGACTGGCTGGGTAGAATTAAAACCAGACAGTTACAGGGCAGTTTACTGTCCATCTTTGCAAAGACGTCGTGAAATATTTTTACTCAAAATGTTTTTTTTTTTCTTTTAAGCCCGGCCAGATACAACAGCGATGATGATTCTTCCAGTGTAGCATCAGCCACGCACATCGGGTGAGTTCGAAAATCTGACAAAGTAGATTAATTCTGTCGATTTGGTAGTAAGTTCCCATCTGAACACTGCTAGCCTGCGTAGCAGTCTTTTCCGTTTCCTCTAAACGGGAGAAAGCGAGAACCAAGGGGAAGTCGCGCGAAAGCGTGGGGCGAGAGCAAAAAGTTAGAAAAAGGGGGAGGGGGTCCTGTCACTAATTTTTTTTGTTACCTCTGTCCCCGTGCCCTCGCGCGACTCCTGCTTGCCTGAAAGGAAACGGAAAAGACTGCTACGCAGGCTAGAACAGTGCATACATGAAGTCCGTTCAGTCCTGGGAACTGGACTGAACCTGGGCCAGCTGACTCATTGGTGTCAGCGGTCTTCTCCGGTTTTTGTGGCACGAAGCGGCTAGGAGTATTGCCTCCTCCCCTCCCCTGATGGGATGTTGGTTCATTGCAGGGTACTCCTGACCTCTTGTCTAGCTGTCCTGAAGTAATTTGCCGGTCCTCGTGTATATATACCACAGTTACAGCACGAACATAATTACAACAAAAACTTTCTTTCGCCACAAAGTAGAAATAATTTATTGCAATAATAAAATTAAAAACTAAAATTAAAAATGCTAGGGGTGCTGGCTACCGCAAAGAACGTAGGAGTTAAAAATGCTAGGCAACCAGTGAAAAGAAAAGACATTTTACTTGTTTAGGTCAGGGACACAAAACAAACAAACAAACAAACATACACACACACACACGTCACTATCTATACTTTGCGAAACATTGCTGTAAACAAGCGGACGAGGTATAATGCCTGTTTTCCCATATATCAAAAACGTGCCGCAAGTCAAATTATTACTTATATCACTGTATGTGTTTAAATCTATGCCAGCCTTGAATTTTCCTTGAGATTGTAAATTAACCCTGTCGGTTTCATTCTCAGCGTTACGCTCCCGGGAAACAGCCCACGTCACAGCCTTCCGCCCAGTCCCCCCACGTCCTATGATCACGATATTATCGAACTTCGTGAAACTAACGCCAGACTGCAGGAACTCATAGATAACTTGAAGGTAAGTTGTTTAATTCTTTATGAAACGTAGTTGTGAGTTCGTAATATATCCGCAGATGGTGAAGAATGTAAGTGAATATATGAAAAATCATTGATGGAAAATGCGAAGGCTCGAGATAGAAGCATTTTCTCAGACGGTGTTGAAGAAGGTACAGAGACATTTCAGACCCTCTCCTGAAACGAGGAGGTGAGAGGGTAATTGAGAAGAGGTAAAAATACTCATCTTGTGATTAATGAGGGAATCCTATCTTAAGATACACTAGAATCGGTAACCCTCTCTCTAGCCAAATTATTTTGTATGGAACATGAATTGAATCAGGGAATGTTTCTATAACAAGCATGCACTTCTGTTTTCAGCGACAGCTAGACTTTGTTGCGGAATCACTTCAAGAGGAACGATGCAATTCAGAGGTTTGTTTTTATTTTGTGTTTTACCACTGTTATAATTTACCATTTGATTACTATATTTTTTTAAATTTACTTCTGATGTGATCCAATGGAAAACAAAAGTACCATTAATCCCCCAAAAGGAGTTTTTTGAGACTGCGTTACTCTTGCGTGCACATACGTGACTTATACATGTGACTTACACGAAGTGCCTGGTGGCAAGCTGATGTCAATTTTTGTACTTTTTGTGCTGTAGCTGATGCGATACGATTTTTTTCTCGACTGTTTTTCTTCGTATTATTCTCCTACCACTTCCAAATATTGTAAACGTAATAATAAGTCGCAAAGGCGCCCTGGTCTCATGGTTCGAGCCCTGGCCGGAGACGTTGTGTTGTGTTCTTGGGCAAGACATTTTACTCTCACAGTGCCTCTTTGCACCCAGGTGTTAAGTTATTTGATGGTAGGAGGTAATCCTGCGATGGACTATCATCCCATCCAGAGGGTAGCAGAAATACTCACTCGCTTTATTCTACTGAAACCAGTATAACCTCCAGCCTGATGGGCCACTTGGCTCGTATGCAGACTTTACCTTTACCAACGCTAATGCGTCCTTTGTTCCCTCACAGCAACTGCGAGATTTACTAAACAGCATAACAACAGAGTGGAATGACGTGTCAGAACTACGTCAGAACGAGGTGAGAAGAAAATCCTCTCAGAGGGAAGGGGTACGGCTGTCATCATAATTCAGACTTCAAAAGCATAGCAATTACGTGACTCAAACACAGGCGTGACAGTAATTGAGGCTATTTAATTATTTAACGTTCGTTTTATCTAGTTGAGATCCCTGAAAAGATAACACCTGTAACTGTAAGTGTTTTTTTTAAACTTTTGTTTTCATTTTTTTATGACAGATGATAACGGTAAAACAAGAACTCGAACGAGCCGAGGAACGCATTGAGTTAGTGGAATATCGGTCAGCGGAGCGAGCAAGCGAGATTGAAGAGGCGCTCGATTCTTACGTCACTAGGGTAAGACAAGGGCGTTGTAAGGACAGCCTAAGCAAGTGAAAGTTCTGGCTATGAAAAGCAACGACGTCGTAAAGACGAATTTTTATTGAAATAAGTAGTGACATGAGAGCTGAGGAGTGGAAAGGGACTCAATGCGTGGCTAAACAGATCAACACACAAGCTTAATTATATGGGGTAAAACAAACTACAGAAATTTTCATAGTCAGCGGAAGGTCACGAAATTGTATCACTTTGGTTGTGTTAGACTTGAGAAACGCCTTGTGACTTGAGGGGTGTGTGGCAAGGAAACTAAGCGTATTCAATTGATGTAGGTAGATAGATATGCAGGGTGTAAGAGAAGTAACAATCCACTAGTACTAGAAATGAACCATTAAGTTCTTGCAACTGGAATTAGAATTAATGACTGTAAGTAAGTAAGTAAG